AGGTTGGGCTCTTATAAGGAACAACGTCTCCCGGAGCTTGATATCTAGAATGCAATAGGAAAAATTGCGTAAAAAAACGTTTTTTGCTTGGAGACTTACCCTAACTCTTGGTCATTCAAGCTATCAATGGAAAGGCAAATATGGATCATGGGCTGCTTACGTTTGACCACCAGTCGATCTAATTCTGGCACCGAAGGGTCCCAGTATTCGTTACATCTAAACGAAAAAAACAAAGGTTCAAGAATTAATAGAAGGTTCAAAGCTCACTCTTTGTAGCAAATTTTCGTGATTTGGTGCAATTTCTGCTTGTACTCGCGCTTCATTATCTCCGCACATGTAATGGTTTTGCCCACAGAAGGACCGGCCCCCGTCCACACCACTGTTCTGGACTGTTCGAAGCTTTTGAGGGCGTGCTCTAAGAGGTTTCTGATTTTACTGCCTCCTCGCACCTGCAAGGGTTGTTTGGGAGGATCAGTTGAACATAACCAGAGCCCTGGTGAATTGCACCATTTTCTGCGCTGGGTTGCTTTAAATATAAAGAAAAATGGGCACATTTCTTCCAAGTACCTGCATCCACAAAAACTCTTCTGGAAGATCAAGCGGAATTGCTGTGCGCTCTAAGGGCTGCTCCTCGTTCTTGCCTTTTCGGTAGTTTTCCATTGTCATCAAACAGGCACATGTAGAGAGACGGGTTTTAAACGAAAACTGATTTGCTTTGAGAGTTTTCAAAACTTAGGTTAGTCCATAGTTGTGGACAAGTAGGGTTAGTCTGACAAAACTTCCCTGCGTCTTAGGTTAAAGGCGTTATTGAGATAATCCCAAGTTGGCGTTGAAAACCCAATTAACGTCTAAAAATTCATAATATTGTTCACTTTCTGGGGCTTAATTTGCCGTAGAAAGACTGCAAAAGGGCCTGATTAGCGCTTTGGGTAAGAGGAAGAATCTCATGATAACCAAAATCCAAAGTTGCTTTATTTGTTGTTGTTGTTAAACGCGCTTTAGGCCCCAAAATAACTCCCATGGATAAAATCGACGAAATGTCGCATGCGTACACCTTGGGTGACCCTTATGTGGTGTCTGTTGAGGATATTGATGGTAAGCCCTATCAAGCGTTAATAATGGATAACTCAACCTTACTCAACTCCGTTTAAGTAGTTGTTGTTTTTTATTTTGCCCCCAAAAGGGCTTGAAAGCTGTCACAACATGCAAACCCCAGACTAACATATCAGCGGAATGGAACAGTAAAGAAGTTCATTCAACAATCGTTTGCCCCCGAACTTTTCAACTAGAAAGTTCTCTTTAATGGTAAATAAACTGTTTGCAGACGAGGCCGAACAATTAGCTGCCGAAAACACAGACGATTCGAATCACGGAGAAAAAGGGGGGGCGCCCCTTAGGGAACAAGACCGATTTCTCCCCATTGCAAATGTTGCGAAAATAATGAAAAAAGCCATTCCCGATTCTGGTAAAGTCAATAACAAGGTACAACTCACTATTATGTATATGTATGCAGTGGTGCAGATGTTGCTTAAACATGTAGTTTGGAATGGAAAATTGGACTATTTAGTAAAACGTTTTTGATCTAAGATTGCAAAAGACGCTAGAGAGTGTGTTCAAGAATGCGTTTCGGAATTCATCAGTTTCATCACCAGTGAGGCAAGCGACCGATGCCATTTGGAGAAAAGGAAAACCATTAATGGGGAAGATATTCTGTTTGCCATGAGCAGTTTGGGGTTCGACAACTATGTGGAACCGCTCAAACTCTACTTGCAGAAGTACCGAGAGGTAACGCAAGTAACTCACGAATTTAGCGCTAGTAAGCCAGCAAAACTCCTTTGTTGCAGGCAGTGAAAGTTGACAAAAACCTCCATCAGGGATACGAGGAATTAGAAATCGAAGGCTTCAGTAAGTAGTCGATTACCAATTAACATTTTCTCGTTTTCCCAGTTGATGTTTTATGTGGAAAAGTGCGTGTTTATGATAGATTTTTGTATTAGATTCCACCGCAATTGCCACCGCGCCTGCCAATGTTGAGGGCACAGTTATTTACACCGTGCAGAATAGCTCCGGACAACAGTTCCAATTAGGATAAGATTTTCACGTTTCGCTCACGAACGCCTCTGTTGTGTTCATGTGAAAATTGTATGACTTGTCTGGTGAGACGCTCCCGGCAACTATCAATGCACCTTTTGGTAATAAGCAGTCGGTTTCAGTCAGAGGATTTTATTTCGCCCAAACATTGCATGTAGTAAACAAGTTACAATTTTGGCTGAAAAAACATGATTCAACACGTTCGTGTCCGATATCCCGGGAATAATTAAACTAAGATATACATACGGTTGTTGATAGATAATGTTGCTAAGAATTGAATATTAAAACGTCTACCCCTAATCAACCAGCCAATAGAACCAAATATACATGACCGGTTTTAAAACATTACGTACGTGGAAGAGCTCGCTTCTCGACGAATAACAAAACCCAACAATCTAAAAGTGCTTAATATCAACGAAAAATCATTCAACTAGTGAAACTTTCAATTATAGTGATGGACTTTTTTAACTGGGGCCTTCTCTACATCCAAGACCACGAATAAATTTGCTTGTTAGTCTTAGTAAAAACGGATTACAATCGTTATAGCGTCTATAAATGACTATAGTTCGGTTAGGCCCATCACCAGCAATTAGAACTAGTCTATATTGAAAATCTTGTTTAATTCTTGCAAGTTTCGCTCCTTAACAAGCGGCCGCAAGTCCGCGCGGTCCATTAAAGACACGCACATTTGCAGCGTCGACCAAATAGTGTTCGACATTTGCGACATCGCCCCCGTGTTTAGCACGTCTTTGCCACGAGCCTGCTGATTGAGGGCGGTCAGAAAGTGTTCTACCGCTTCCCTGCAACAAGAACGCCACTAGCGAACACTCACCAAACCCTTGATTGATCACCTGTAAGCTCGCAGATTAATGCAGGTAATGCCCACATTGTATCTAGCTCGGATAAATCCGGGCGACAAATTTAGCGCCATGTGATACGCTTCGACGGCCTCCTCCGACTTGGAACCATTCGCCAGTGTCGCCCCAAGGCGGTTCCACAATCTGGCGTCCTGCAAACAGGAAATTCGCTCCTAAATAGGCCTTTTTTCATTCTGCCAGCTTACATGAGGTCGCACGGACAGCGCAGCCCGAAAACAATCAGCGGCTTTCTCGTATTCCCCGGTTAAATTGCACAAAACGCCCAACCCTGACTGGATTTCATGGTCCAGATTCTGTGGGTTTCTCTGGGCGGCCTTTAAGTACAGCTCCTGCACCTGCCGCTGATTCGCCCTGCACAAACGTATTAATAATCCTTGGGCGAAAAATCGCAGGTTTTATTAGTTGGAAGCCATTTAGTGATCAGTGTTGAGCGTTTAGCAAGCGCAGTGTTGGGGGAGAGAAGATAATTGAAGTGCGGACTCTAGCTAAGTTACTTTTTTCAACTCACATGGCAAGGGCGGAATCTGAGTATTGAAAACTTGAGCAGAAATACCATTTTTTATGGTGGTACGTTAGAATAGAAAACCGCTTTTCCTTACGGGTTTTTAGGCCGTCGTAAAATGGAATTTCTTCCGGACGTTTCGCAAGCACGAGTGGCTTGCATCTTCAGAAGTGGTTTGCTTGAACGCTTAC